ACGGTTGAAGTTCATAATTCCTGCACACCAAAACAAAACAACCACACGTAGCCACGAAAAGAGAGAAAAAAAAAAGAATACAAAAACAAAGACAAAGAAAAAAACAAAGATTCACGAAAGAAAGAACCAAAACACGATAATTACAAACTAAAGAAAACACAAAAAATAAAATGAATACTAAAACTAAATGTCCTACTTGTCTTCCCCGGCAACGGCGCCAAATTTGTTATAGCAAATTATTTTTATTTTTACCGAGAACCGAATAAAAAAGATTCGTTCTCCGGGTCGATCTCTCAAGGAAGACGGTTCGGAATTTAGCGTTGGTATTGATCACACACGAAAAGAAAATAAATCTAAACATTCTAATCACGGTTTATTTGGAGAATTAACTAAAACAAGTCAAAATTAGAAAAACAATTTAAAGAAATAACAATTAAATTTCTAGAGAAAAAGAAGAAGTTCTAGGGGTCGAGAAATCTCATCAAGTCTTAAACTATGTTGAATGATTATTTGTTCAGTTACGAGATTTAACAAGCCTACACGTCTAGAGGGCTATGCTCAATAACTCTTCGTAACAAGAACACATACATAAACGATAAACTCATTCAAACAAGCAACACATAGACAANNNNTGTTAACTGGAATTAAGAACATTAAACCAATCAACAATAATAAAATAGAATTGAAAAACTTACAATCAGATTAAGACTTGAAAGATTTCAATCCAAATGTCTTTGTGCCCAACAATCCAAGCATGAGAAAATAAAAAGAAAAGTGGAGAAAATTATCCTAACAATATTGAGTTTTTGGAGAGAAAACTTGAAAGGAACGATATTGGGGGTTGTTCCTTAGGTCTGGCGGTTTTTTTTGATATATAGTGCGCGAAAAACGAAGCTAAAACGAGTAAAAATGAGCAAAATAAAAACAGGGGTCGACAGGGTCGCGACTCGCGAGTTGACTCACGAGTCGCGAGTTGGACGGGTCGCTGGGCTGCTGAGGCTCTGTTAAAGTCGCGAGTCGCGAGTTTTCTCTGGTGAGTCGCGACTAGCACTCGCGACTCGCGACTTTGTGCTCGCGACTCGCGAGATTCTGGGTTGCATTGTGCCATTTTGCATTTTCGCCTCGTTTGAGCTCATCCGAACTCAGAATTGAGTTCCGTTTTTTCCTATGCGTCGCTAACGAACCCCTCTATCCAGTTATGCTCTCGAAACCAACTTTTACTGAAGAGAAAATTCGCTCGAATCTTTCGACCTACACACCAAAAACGACAAAACACAAAAGAAAACCAAAAAAACAAACAAAAAACACCTAATGACTCAACATGAAGGAAAACACATAATAAAACACGAAACGAACTAAAAAATAAAGAAACAACCTAAAACAGGGGAAAAAGAAAGATAAAATAAACACGAAAAACGCAACAAAAATGGGACAAACAACTGGGTATTACATTGATTATAATTACGCTCCATGTTTGAGGTATGTATTATCAGTATCCGCTCGGAATGGTCGCCGGTCCATTCTGGGTTCTAGTGGCCTTAGTCTGCCCACTGGAGTGTACACATGGTGTCCGGTATTTTTATGCTGGCAGATGTTCAGTTATCAGTCAGGTGATGATTATCACGACATCAGTATCAGATCATGATTATTCAGTACCGGTTTCAGTTTCAGTTCAGTATCAATTCAGTTATATATGCCAGAATCATGATACTGTTATTATTTTCACTGTTTACTTTAGTATGAGTTTCTGCGGAGCACAGTGGATTAGTGCTCACGCCCCCACATTATTCATGTTTTTCAGGTCGCAGAGTCGGAGCCGAGGAGTGAGCTGGCGACCGGTTCAGGACATTTGTATATATGTATAATCATGTTTTGGCTACACTATGATTTCCGCTACTGTTTCAGTTTACCAAACCAGCTTTTGATCCGACGTTAGTCGGTTATTATGTTATATAACCGTTTTATTGTTAAACTAAAATAACGATTTTCAAATAAAGTCAGATTTTACGGTAGCACTCTGAATCAGTATCTCGCAAAATAAATATTTTTATTTAGAAAAATTTTGCAAAAAACACGCTCTGATCTTCATGAAATAGCGGGGTGTTACATTTAACATTGAAGATGCCAATTTGTTTGCTGCACTGGCTCCTCAACGATCCTCTAAAGTGCTCCACTCAGATCTACAGCTTTATTCCTGCGGTAAGATTTATTTCTCAACTCTGCTTATCTTTTTCGATATATTTTTCCTTGAATCATGAGTATGTTGTGGGCATCTTTCTGTGGCGACGAGTTGGACGTCATGATGATCAACATGGTTCACTCCAGGGAGATGGAATTACTTTCTGAATACAATCGGTGGGATCCGACTTTTGTCGAGCATTTGAGCATTCGATTGAACGACACTGAGGGGGACAAAAAAGTGGAAGAGAACGCCGTCGATGATCTGAAATATTGGAGGCGACCTATTAGAAGATGGCCAGACCCTAAAGTAGGCTTTCACGGTGAGCGAGTATACTGACAGACGCCGACACCATTATGTTACGAAATAACGCTCGAATTCCTACGTCGGTGCATTTATTCACACCGTATCCTGGAGAAAGGATCACATGTCCTCCGCCAGGGTGTGTCGGCGTATTTGCTGAGAGTTTGAGATCGGGTTTATGATTTCCCTTACCGTGCATAATTACAGAATATTTACGAAACTGGGAATTGACCCTATGCCAAATTTCTCCAAATTCATGGAAGCGGGTCATCGGTGTGCTTGTACTCCTCGCAGAGAAGAAGTGGGATTTGCCGTCAGCAAGTGAGATGAGGAGCATGTCCACCTTTCGGAAAAGCCCGGATAGACAAGTTACAGACCCGCTTCTTACTTTCTCAATTGTCGGTAAACCTCAATCAAGGGTCAAGGTTGCGAGTTGATAACGGAGGTTCCCGACACACTCCATGGCTTTCAGGAAGAATGGTTGTTGGTTGGCGGAGATTGGCAATGCGCCGATTTCGCTAGTGATCTTCTCGCCAATGGTACAAGTATCCCGATGGCTGTTAAATCTGCTTATTGTAAGTTAATTTTTCTATTTCCTCATTTGAAGTATTAATTACTCGTTTTTTGTCTTCCCTAACAGGTGGACTTTTGTAACATTGTAGCCAAACCGCAAGGAAAGAAAGAACCTTGGTTCGGAGAAGTATTGTACGATCGAGTAGACAAGCAATAAGTTTCTTTCTTTCTCCCAACAATAAGCCTTTGTTGAAGGTAATAAAATTTTGTTGCGGCTTTTCTGTGTGCCGTATTGCCACCGCCTTTTTGTTTACTCTTATCTCTCAAATTTAATCTTCCTAAGTTCGTATGTTACGCAAACG